GGGGGGGGGGGGCTCATGAGAAGCAGGAAGAGAACAACCAGGCACCGGGTCCACCCAGCGAGCGGTCACCTCGCCCCCGCCCCCGGGTCTGCTGCCCGGGGAGAGCAAGGCCCAGACCAGCATGCTCCGGCGGCTGCTCAGGGCCCACTAGGCAGCAGCCCCTGGGGCGCGGGGGCAGAGCGGGGCCCAAACCGTCCCAGGAAACCCCACCCAACTACCCAACTCTTGACCTGGCGAGCCCTCGCCCTGTCTGCTCACCACAGCCCACAGGCTCCACAGCTCAGCAGAGGGTGCTGCGCCACCCCACCCTGTGCCCCCCACCCCCGACAGTCCACACTCACCCCCCACCCCCGCTCAGCTGGGGGCAGTGCCACAGCACACACCTGTCAGTCTCCTCCTCCCTGCAAACATGTCTGGCCAACAGCGGTGCTCCGCCCAGAGGCCTGGCGGTTTGCACAACACCCCCAGCCCCAGGAGCTGCCAACAGCTGACTGACAGCGAGTGAAAACTCAGAAGACCCTGCTCTTCTCCCGTGTCCAGGGATGAGCTCCAGGGGCCTCAGGAGCCAGCCCGCTCTGGGACCCCACCCTGTTCGCTCCCTTCCCTAGCTGGCTTCCAAACCACATGCTACAAAGCCTCGCTCAGCTCTGCTCCTGGGAAACCAACCCAGGTGCTTTCTCCAAGATGAAGCAGCTCAGAAGACCCTGGGACTTCAGCCCGAGGAAAAGGAGGAAACGATGCAACCGACCCAGCAGAAGGGCGACCCAGCAGAAGGGTGCTCTGACACCCGGTTGTGAAACAATGTAGAAAAATACTTGTGGCCATTAGAGAAGCAGGTTATCAAGTGCCCCAAATACCAAGAATGAAACAGGGTGAAAAAACCAGCTTGGGGTGGGGGGGTGGATAGGGGTGAAGCACACACTCACTGTGCTGCAGCTGAAGCGGCAGGAAGGGCTTCTGTTTCCCCCAAGTTTCTATATAGTCATTCTGTGTCTAAAGAATACCTTAAAAGTGATCTATTGTGTTCTTTGGGGAGCATTTTCAAGAACCACAAATATCAAAAAAGAGTCCGGAGCATGCCACATAGCCAGCAATGGCGGGACTCAGTCAGTCGGCTAATCAGCCAGAGGCTGCAGGTGCCCGAGTGAGGAGGGTCAGGCAGGTCCCAGCACTCCAGCTGGGCACAGGGGCCCACCGTCACCGCCCGCAGCACTTTCCTGAGGCCCACCCAGACTGACCCCTGGGCCCCTTAAAGGACCTGACTCTACTGTGCAATGATTCGTCACTGTAAAATCAAGAAACAGGAAAAGTGCTCTCAAAGTCAGCAGCTCAGACATGCAGGAGATTTCAGGCAACGCGGAGCGTGGCCACAAACTCAAAGCAAGAGCAAAAAATCTCCCAAGGCTCAGAGATGTTTGATTTCTCTGTTTCTCATATCAGAAAATTAACAGAAACCTCTTTGGGTGAGGAGGACATATTCCCCCTCAGGTTTGGATGACTTATCTGCATGCCAACTCTGAAAATCTCCAGAGGAAAGTCTTCAAAAAAGCAAGCTGTAGATGACTAAACCAGAAGCAGTGCTGCTAAAAATAAAGAAAACACTTTCAGTGCTTGATTGATGGAAGATTTTCCTGTGAAGCTAAGGGGTAAATCGCAGCTGCCAAACACCTCTGAGAAGACACTGAAGCTAAGCCCTCACGCATCTGCAATAAAGCTATGGATCAGATGCAAAACAAGTTTTAAGGTACTTAGCACTTCTCTGATGCATCTGAGATGAGAGATGTTTTCCCCTCTTCTTCCTAAGAAGCTGTACAAATAAATTCAAATCCCCTGGAGTCCATCAGCATCTCTCAGAAAAGAAAAAACAATTAGAAAAAAATAATAATAAGGTTGATACTTTCGCAAAAACGCATAAGCATGGCTCTAAAATGTCAAGGAGGCAGCATACAAGTACATCCAAAGGGCTCACGGGAAGCCAGTTCACAGCCAGCTTCCTCTTCCAGCCATTTATCAGGAGAGCAGACAACTTCAGCCAGAGGATGACGGCATCTCCTTGCAAAGTACGGAGATGGTCTTCCCGCAAGACAAGGCTTGGGCAGGGACCTGGGAAGCTTACAGAAGCTAGGCCCTAAGACGTTACTGGTTCGGGCCACGTCCTTATTTCAGGAGTCAGACTTTCAGGAAGAGAACGGGGACCCCCAGCACAAGGAAGGTCTCGGCCTGGACCCATTACTGCATACTGCAGACTCATATTCATACGGCCTTCAGCTTACACCCACCCACACACCAGCTCTCTGCAGTGTGCCCACACATTAAGTCTCAGCCCCGACACAGCCTTCAAACAGCAAGCATGGCGCGAAGGTGCATCCTTGGAGCGCACAGCACCTTTTATCTGGAGCTGTCATGAAGTGTGGGCGGCCGGTCACACCCTAGCCTGCCTCCACCCAGCTAGGAGTTGAAATTGGTGACATCCCAGTGCAGAATGGCCCAGAGCACCCCAGCGCAGGCAGGGGCCTCCAGTCTCCCTGGAGGCTACAGGGGAGAGGTGGGCATAGACCCACGGTTCCATTAGCGGGGAGGGGGGTGGGGGTTCCCAGCTCACGTTCCCAGGGCTGGACCCCTGGGTTCTTGCAAAAGGAAGGGGTCTGAAAAACAGTTTTGGGCATCAAGGCCACACAGGTGGACAACCCAGAGGTGCCAACCACACTTCTTGGGGCTTGCGGCTCATTTGTAAAGTGGCGCTAGAGGGTTCCCTCCGAAAGACCTGTGGTCCGAGGCTCCGGGTCCGCCCCTGGACGCTGGCGGCTGAGACTGCCTCCCACACTCGCCCCCACACCCGTCCACGGGCCCACTCCCACGCCGGCCTGGCGCTGGACAGGCGTCCGCCGCGACTCAAGAAACCGAAGGCTTTGCTGACCACCTGCTCCTTGGAGGCCCCACAGTGGAGGGGAGACCACGTGGCCGCCACTGCGGGCTCCAGGGCGATCCTCTCCCACTCGCTAAATGCTGAAGGCCGCGCCCTGGGGTCAAGCCGACCCCTGCGCGCTCCCTCCTGCAGCACCCCCTCCTGCAGCACCGCCGGCCAGTGCGCGGCCCAGGCCCGCGAGGCCCAGCC